CATACTTTTTTTCACATGACTTGCATTAGCATTTCTGGTTTGTAGAGAAGCAGAGTTGAGTCATCTGTTTGTTTCATGTTCCTGTAGCAGCTTATTAATAATGTTGCTGGTTACACACAGACACACACACACACACACAGCTGTCCCAGTGTGTAGACAGTAGCACCAACTCACTCAGGAGACAGGTTATCAGAAGTGTCACTGCTGATATGTACTTTCTGCATTCGACTGTAGAGCAAAAACTACAACACACACACACACATCACAGAAGAAAGTGTCAGGTTGCATTCCAGAAGTTTACAAAGAATTTATTTTTGAGGAACAACACTGCCAAACGACAGGAACACAACATGAATATCCTGTGGCAGTCCTTCCAAGATTACACACAAACACACACTTCCCCTTTGTTCTGTCTTACTACTCCCAGCCCCATTTTCAGCCCAGGTCACAGGGAGTACATTCCTGGTAAAAATATAGAGACAGAAAGAGACTGATGGGACGAGTACCTGAAAGAGAGGAAACTGTTTGCCTAAAACTGGCCGTTAGATCTTTAATGTGTCATATCGTCGATGGGCGTCAATGAAACAAGCTGTAGCTGTATGCAGCTGTATGTATAAATGGGTGACATAATGCTAAGGGCAACAAAGATGGAATAGTTCAGATTATGTTTGAAAGGTACTGGAAATCTGACTAATCTGAATATTAGCAGTTAGTTGCAACTGTGATACTATAATGTACATGCATGCATAGTTTCAGTTTCTCCAGTGTAATGTAATTTTTTTTTTTTTTTTGTCAGTCAGTTGTAATATCAAAAATATATTTGAGCTTTTGGACTGTTCAGAAAGATTATTTAAAAGATATGAAATGTGTCACTATTTTCTGACACTTTATAGAATAAAACAAATAATCAGTTATTTAAGATTTTCACATAAACATGCTTTTGATAAAATATCGCATTTAATAAATACACATTTTATTGTGAATGTTATTTGACAAATATGTATACAGTAAAAAGAAAGGAAAAAAAGAAAGAAAAATGGTCTTGACCAGTCACACCTGGTGATTATTATCAATCATCAATCATCTAATAGTTTAGACTCTTGCCAGTGGTTGATCTAGAAAAGTTAACATGGTGGGGCAAAGGAGGGGCAAGAGGTCTAGACAGAGTGGCACATGCCTCTTTAGTAGTGAAAATCTCCTATGTAACTAAAGTCAACAAAATATCCACAAAAACACTTTAAAACTCTTTATGGCATCATTATTGCTTCTATCTCTTTTCTTCTCCTTTAGATGGGTAGGCTTAGAGAATTAGTTTTTACAAGTATTTTAAAGACATAAAAGTTGGGGGGGGAGCAAGAATCTACTCACTTTTTAAAGATGGCATTGCTTATTTCAGCAAGACAGTTCCACGCAGCAGAAAACCATCTGTCGCATTATGAAACCAATGCAAGGACACAGGAGTCCTTAACCTGTATAGCCAAAGAAATCATACTACAAGAATAGGAAAACCTTAGACAAAGTTTCTTGAGTTTAACATTTAATATGCTATTCTTGTAATTTCTTCAGTTAAGGTTACATTTTTTTTTTTTTTTTTGCAAATTATTGTTCTTTAAATGTATCTCTTGCATATCATCCCAGGTTTTTGTGTCACTTCTATAGAAGTGACAATTTTTACATTTTAAAGCTAAGAATAATTCCACTTACCAAAACCAATAAAAATTAAAATAACTCATAAGCTCTCAGATATTTATTTTAGTCTGTATAACAAAGTATATCCTGCCAATTTCGCAGTGTAGCTCTGAAAAAAATAATCCCTGTCACTTTGTAAATGAAACTTCTGAAACTCGTGTCTGCGCCTTGACGCTTTCATTTTGCTTTTTGTACTGACTTTACTGTAACTTTAATTTGCTTTCTACATTCTGATATATTGCACGCTGTAAAAACAACTTACAGTAAAATTAAAGTTGGCAACTTAATGAGCTCCTTTGTTTATGTCTTTTGTATTCCATGGTGTTCCTATAATGTCGTTTCCATTTTAGTCTTCCTTGTATGCATTTAGGGAATATATGCAGTAAAGATGCACTTCTATTATGTTCTGTTTTTAGTTGTATTAGTAAAAAAAAATCAGTTTCACAACATCCACAGGTATAAATTAGCCTGTCAGAGCTCAGATGGAGCTGTCTATGAACTCCATGTTTCAAAATAAGCCCTGCACGATGGCAGCTCATCGTGAGATGTCTGTGTGTAAGCGACTTTTCTTTCTCTTCCCAGCCTCTTACCGATGGCGCTGAGCAGCCGCGGTTTGTGTCCTCTGTGAAACCACAAGATAAAGCGACTGTTTCCACTAGCCTTACCTTCTCTTTCCTCGTTCTTGGCTTTTCCATCTCTGCTAAATCCGGCGACCGGAGCTCTAAACTTTCATCCCGCAGCAGCAGCAGAGAGACAGAGAAAAACAGTCATCCAAAGCCAGGGTACAAGTCCACTGTAGGTTATCCAGCGGTATATGTTACCAATAAACTTGAGAGTGAGAGGCTTGTGTGCTATGCAGCGGTGCTCCAAAGTTTCTCTGAGTGAAAGTTAATCCAGACTGCGTGCGCCATGTTCCCACAGGCGAACTTCTCCCCATAGCGGAATTTTTGTCCGGTGAGAGGCGGGGATCCGGTCGGCTCACCAGCTCACAGCAAGGTTTCAATTACTCTTCATGACATCAGAGAGGAGTTGAGTTACCTGACAGATATTCATTTCAGCAGACTTTTACACTGTGTTGGTGTAGTATGTTAACAGGAAGCCATACTTTGTGTAGGAATGAGGACTTGTTTAAAAATATATCATTTTATAGCATTTGGAGTCTATTGTAGAATATAGCCACCTACTCCGAGTGCTAGTGCCCTTTAAGGTTAAAAATAACGTTTATTTAAAAAGACTATCTAAATTCTAAATTCTAAATTCTATGGACATGTAGACAAAGGGAACAGAGGTATTTAGTAGGTAAGGTGTTAGAGAAATGCAGAGGGACAGATAATAGTACATTCTGCAAAAAGGACAGAAATGTCTGTACTAAACATGTACTTTAAGAAGAGGGAAGAACACAGGGTGACATATAAGAGATGAGTAAGGTGCACACAGAGGGACCACATCTTATGCAAAATGTGCAATCTGAAAGATATAGGAGCCTGCAAGGTGGTGTCAGAGGAGAATGTCGCCTTTGTACATTAAGAAGCGGAAGCAAGTGAAGGCAGAGGCAAGGAGTAAGTGAAATAAGTTGAAGAAAGAAGAATGTTGCACAGAGTTCAGGAAGAAGTTGAGGCATGCTCTGGGTGGAAGGAAAGAGTTACCCGATGTTACCTGTATATTAAAGATGGCCCACTAACAAAACAAATTAGCCTCTTTGACTGTGGTAATACAAACTTAAATGTCAAGAAGGTAGGTAAGGCTCTTTGTTGATACTGATTTTTGAATATTTTATGGAATTATTCATAAACTACTAACTTTTAACTACTAATACTGTACACTTCACTGTGGTGTGAAAACTACTTTAGATCAAAGCATTTATTGACCAGACATTAACAAAAAACTGAGCACTGTCTCCTAAAGGAACCTTGTGACAATCCCACATTCTGAATCATCCAGAAGAAGCCCCATTTGCATATACAGTGGTCCCTGTAATAATTTTTTACAATTATTACAGATGTTTTAGGGCTGTAAAGCCCCTCACTACACACTTTATACACTTTTCTCAGACAGGCATTAACATTTTCACACTTTTCTCTCTTTTTTAAACACTCTCAAAGTTCCAACCTTCGTAGAAAAAAAAAGTCCAGTATTATACAATGAAACCAAAGATCAAACCCTGTATTCCGGTCAGGTCAGGACGCAGAACACAATGCACTGTAAAAAAAAAAAAAAAAAGCATGCAAAATTGCACAAAAAAAAATCCAGCAAGGTCGCAAAAGGTGACCCGTGTTATCATCATCACCTTTATTTATAAAGCACTTTAAAACAACCACAGCTGACACAAAGTGCTGTACATTGGAACTATATAATAAAATCACATAAGATATAAATAAAAGCCAAATAAAAGAAAAAGTAAAATACTTAATTAAATAACTAATTTAGTTACAAGAGAAACTAAGTCTCACTGAGGCCGTCATTTTTATAAATGCATTTTGTTTCTTATTTGTATAGTTAAATATTACGCTCATGCTTGTGATCTGGACATATGCAGTTTATGTGAAGAGATGCCTAAATTAAAGAGTAGAAGCAGGATAATAGCCAGTCTGATTCTGTTTTTATGGCAGTAATGATGCCTACTGACAAACACCTCTGAAGCTCAACATGTGACATTTAAGATCTGGAAATCTCAAGATGTTAAATAGGTTTCATTTTATGTTTTACACTGCGCAAATAAATCTTGAAAGTTTGGCTAAACTTAAAATTAGCTAGCAGGTCTATGCAAAACAGGGAGAAACTATTTGTTTGCTTGAAGTAACTCTGACATAACTCTAACATTTACATTTTTCTTATAGATTAAGCAAACTTGTTAGTGAATACTACTCTGGGTATTGCTAGTAACTGCTTTCAGTCTTTAGCCTAAGCTGCATTCATCACTGCAGTCCTTAGCCTCACATTTACCATACAGTTTTGAGAATGATATTGATTGTCTCGTTTAACTGTTAACAAAAGAAATAACAATAATAATAATATATAATAATAATCTCAATTATTTTGAGAACATTAAACAAAATCTACATTGCAATCCTTCACAGCGTAGCAAAAATATAGCATTCAAGTCATAAAATTAATAGGTACAAAGAAGACAATGATAACAATATATCTTAACATTTAACAATATATCTTAACAAACTACCGTTTTTAAATCGAATTAGTTATTTTTTCTTTTTACATCTTACAACATAAAGTACATTTCAACATTTATTTCATATGTACAGCTATTTAAGTAATTTTTTCTCTTTCATGGCTTTACTTACAACATAATTTGCAGCATTTTGCAACTCATACAGTACAGTGCAAATACTTACAAATAGGCTACACATGTGCTGAAATATGAATATAAAACGCATCTACAGTATAGGGTACAGAACTGCAACCATGATTTTATTCTGTGAATACTGAGGTCAACAGTAACCTTTCTTCCAGGACAGCCAAAGCTCCTCCTTTTTAATGAGATGTGTTTTAATGGCAGATATCTCCATCTGTCATCTCAGGAAAAGCACATGTGTTACTAATCATTTTAACAATGGGTCAGCTGAATTGAGTTACTGCAGTGAGTCATTATAGTTTGCCAGTATGGATTATTACAGCTGGCTCTTGAACTTGCACACCTCAATAAAATGCTCTTCTTATTGAATGTTAGTTAGTAAAAACTATGGTGTCCTGCTAAGACCTACCAACATTTCTGTTACACTTTAGGAATAAGTTTATCTTGTCCTCAACAAGGCCATTTTGTTCCTTAGGTACAACCTCCACAACATCCCATATAGTAGACGCCATAAATACACAGTACAATATTTCATAGTAATCCAAAGTTTTCAGTATTGGATAATAAATAAAGAATTGTAACAAAAAAAAGATGTGTATAATATTACATATATTATACACACACACACATACATTTAACATTTCCTTCTCTGTAGGTTTTGCCTAAATAGTATAAAGTCAGTGGAAATAAATCTTCTAAGCTTGTATTGCTGATCTAAAAATTAATTAAATTAAATTAACATGATCTGTGCAGGCCTTAGAACATCAAACGAGAGTTGACGTTGTCCTGTTAGTCATTATTGACAGAAAGACTTGAGTGTAAAGAAAAATAAAGCTTTCCATAAGAGAGACTGACTGTGAAGAAGATTCATCAGGAAATGAACAGAAAAAAATTTTGCTAATCCATATGAAAACAGATTTCATAGTGTCTTACGTATATAATATATATAATATTGAACATTAGGACAAGGTTTTTTCCCTTTAGACATTTTTTCTCTTCTTCTTTATTTGTCTGCGTCGGGTCAATCTCAGACACAGTTTGTGGAGCCTCACTTCTCTGTCTTTTCTCTTAGCTCTCCTTGGGTTTGGCCTCCTGAGGTTCAGTTGTACTGCCTGTAGATGGTGTTGCTCCTCCACTGCTACGTTGGTCCACTGATCCTGCTGAGGAAGCTCGGCTTTTACCACGACTAGTGTACAGCTGTTGAATGAAGCAGAAGAACAAATGTTTTGTGATGCTACTCAGTATTTAGTTTTAGTGTTAGAGTTGACATACCTTTACTTTACTTAAAAATGTATATTTCATGCATTTTACTAATCATCCACTACATGGGATTATTTACATACAGAACAAGTATAAAGCTTAAGAGAATACACGGCTGAACATGAATTTTAAATCACTGTATGCAATGGAAATGTGTGTAGCATCATCTCATGATCCCTTAGATCTATCCAGAGACTATTTGGAGGACCAGTATTTCCAATTTTTTAGGCACCAAACTAAAATATGTAGCTGTATATAAAAGATTTTGAATTATAGCTCCATGTCCACAGACTGATGCATGGCCATTTTGACCATGACCATTAATGCTATGTCATAATATATCAGTCATAGTGACTGTGTACTTGATCTGACTTCTTCTGTTATACACAGTGATATAACTGTATTATATTCTTTAAAGCTAGGCCAGCTAAATACATCTACTGTATATGTTTGTATACTTACTTGCTGTCTGCCGTGCATTCCTCAAGCAGGAAGCAGGACTGAGACACATGTCCCAGAAGATGAGCTTGCATTTTGGTCAGTTGTCTCTGTTTAGCCAAAGTCTGGAATATTCTAGAAGTACAAAAAGCCCAGTCAAATGAAATGTCCAAGCACATGACAAAGGCAGAGAGCATATGAAAAGGCCACTAGAACAAAAAGAGAACTGGAGAGAGTATCTATGTTAATGGATGTTCCCTATTTTGTGTTACACTATGTATGCCTTGTTGGGAATACACAGAACAAAGCCGAGTGCGCTGTTATCTCAGTGTTTGCACATGCCCTGTAATTACTAAGTAAATTTGTGTATTTTAGATATGGTGTGACACATGCTGAAAATTACCCCCTCTGATTATTCTAGAAAAAAAAGCAAGCAAAATTCTCCGTATGACTTCCCTTTACTGGCAATAATACAGAGAATTTACACAGTGTGTTGCCTTACCTGACAGTACAGTTGCAGTGGTAAAGTGTCTTTGGCTCCTGGTTGTAGAAGCCATATTTCTCATGCTGGGATGGGATCTTGTCCCTACACTCATCGATATCCTTATAGATACCACATGACATTGCTGTAGAGAAGCATCAGCAGAAGTGGTCAGTTACTCTGTTGTAGGAAAATCAGTGAATATACTGAGACGTGGTTAGTATCAAATACCTGTGATATCACGGCCTACTTCAGTCACAGTATGATTTTTGGTTGGTACAATGTTCTCCAGATTTTCTCTTCTGTCAGAAACAGATCCCAAAGGTGTCTCTGTTGCATTACTGCCTGTGTATGTTGTAGCGTTAGTAAGAGGAATGATGGGGGCAAAGGGTGTAGGGACTGTGAATGCAGCAGCAGTATTGGAGGAAAGCTGTAAATCTGAAGTGCTATTCTCTAGGAGTTCTGCAGGTGTGGTAGAGTTGATCACAGAGCTGTTCATGCTTTCATCTGTTGGCTTAGATTTGTACAATATGGGTGAATGAACCTCAGCATACAGAGCCATTTTAGTCTCCTTACACCTGCAAGTGAACCCAAAGGACAAAAAAATTACAGAAATATTTAGTTTTCTTATTGTTCCCAAGTGTTGACTTGGAAGATGGATGCTTTCTCTCAGATCAAAATTAAGTTACAAATACCAGCCTGAAACCAGTCTGCACCAAAAGAGATCAAAACTATAAACTGCATAGAAAAGATGGACTTAATTCAATTCAATTTTATTTATATAACACCAAATCACAACAACAGTCACCTCAAGGCACTTTATATTGTAAGGTAGACCCTACAATAATACATACAGAGAAAAACCCAACAATCAAATGACCCCCTGTGAGCAAGCACTTTGTCAACAGTGGGAAGGAAAAACTCCCTTTTAACAGGAAGAATATCCTCTGGCAGAACCAGGCTCAGGGAGGGGCGGCCATCTGCTGCGACCGGTTGGGGGGAAAGAAGGAAGACAGGATAGAAGACACTTAGCTACAGTGACTTCGCCTATTACTTAGTGAGGTATTCACTAAGTCTGAAGACTAGTGATTGAGGCCATGAACTTATCAACTAATCGTTTAAAGAGGTCATAGAGAATGAGAGACTTCACTACAAGCAGACTTCTATCTATCTATCTATCTATCTATCTATCTATCTATCTATCTATCTATCTATCTATCTATCTATCTATCTGTTGCTGAAAACAAGGAGTAATGGCAAGCTTATCTAGTTTTAGTAATAATCAACACTTCATGCTTTATGTATTGATTAGCTGTATATGTAAACTATAATATTCACTAGATAATTAGTTTGGATTTAGCTACACACTCAAAAACGCTCAATTTGGCTATAGCTAAACCTATGATTAAGTTGCCTGACTAAATTGTTTGAACTAATCCATTTTTGTCATATGAAAAATTGTCTTAAAACTTGGTCTTGCATGGAAAAAAAAAGAAAATGTAGCTGGGTGTTTTGACATTGCAGGTGAGGTAAATAAGTATGGAGTTAATTTAAGTTAGCTGGTTAGTTGGCTGATAGAGTCAGGCTAGCTTTTTTTTCTTTCTGACTCAGTAAAACTGGGTCAAAAAGGTGACACCTTATCAAAGAGATTACCTTTAGTCCAGGTATATGCTTTTTTTTTCTAGATGTAAAAAGAGGCGAAAGTCTCCACTGTTTCCTGTAATTAGCTTGAGATCCAATTAGCTTTATCTCAACCAAAGTAGTGAACTACCAAAGCAATTTGTAAACCTGCTAGCAATCTAAGGGACAGATGCCTCAAACCCAGAACAAATAAAACTATAATGGCTGGATACCATGAGAGGTCAGGGAGAAATAACAATACTGGATGAATCCTAGACCTTCACAATTACACAAAATCATTTTATTTCCATCACAGCTTTACTTACATTCCAAACCAGTTTCTCTGTGTACACTGAAGCCGATGGGAGAATGTAAAGCAGTGCATCTTCAGCAGGTTAAAGAAGGTATATCCCACTACATCAGCTATGCCGTCATTCGCCTCCACCAAACAACTTCGAAACCTTTAACATATTTGATGCCATCATTTTAAGAAAGAATCAACATCAAAGCACATGCAACAAACCAGCTGAAAAATAATCAGGAAAGGATAGGATAATTACTTGTTGTCACAGTCACAATGAGACATGGTGAAGATGTTGCTGTTGAAAATGCCAAACTCTGAGTGAAAGGACAGAATGGTGTGTCTGCACTGATCGTGCTCCCGGCAGCAACGGTCGGTCTCTGAAAACACTCCTGCAACAGGTCAAAACATATATAGAAGATGTGGATTAAAAGACTGTAACATGATTGAAACTCTCCAAAATGTAAATGTCAGTTTACTTGTTGTGATCTTTGTTTTTTTTCCTTTCTGTCAGTAATGTTCTTGGGTTTGTTCCCATTCCTTAAGTGTGCCACAAGTGTATATATATATATATATATATATATATATAGATAGATAGATAGATAGATAAGTAGATAGATAGATAGATAGATAGATAGATAGATAGAAATAAAATATAACATTTACATATATTATTTACCCAAAAACCTGAATAAGGTTTATTGCATTGTTAAGGAAGTGCGGATTTATCTTTTTGTTTGCTGAGAAAAACTGAAACTTCAAACAGGTAAAAATATATGTATAATAAAATCAACTTTTTAAATGCTTCTTCAGAAAATTATTGAACTTCATTCAAATTAAAGACAGTCTAAATGGTCATTTTAGTGACTAAAATTAGCAGACAAAAGGGCTAGCAGAGGTGAACTTTGGCAGAAAGCTATTAGCAATGACATACCTGTCAAAGCAGCCATATCCTGGAATATCAAGGGGAGAATTATTCCCCCATAGAAATTTTTGTAACGGGCTGTAAACATACTTTTTAATGCAGGGATGTTTTTGCTTTTTTAGTATGGGAATCTACTCTCTATTTAAAGAAGAGGGCTTTTGAAGAAGGAGCAACTGTACACTGTTCCAAAAAATAGTAATGTCAAAGTATCTTACTGTATATTTTACAGTTTTGTACTGTCTTTCTAGGATATCATTAAATTTACATAAGTAGACTGTGATCTTACATGTCAAAGGTAAAATAACGTAACAGCTCTGTAAATATAGTAAAACACAATTTACTTGTTTTTTAAATATATTTTTTTGTACATATGCATATTTAGATTGTAAAAATACATCCAGAAATGTATCATAATTTCACAAATATTTGTCTGTTATGTGAGAGAATGATCTGTTAAATTCAAATGTAATACTATGGAAAAATATATAAAATGATCAAAAATTAATGAGAATAATCAATAATTAAAGGAGTATTTGAATTATAATTTTGCTGAAAATTTCACGTCACCTAGGTCGAACACCTAGGTGACGTGTTGGGGGAACAGCTAGTTCTCTCCCATCATGCCTTGGGACATGTGCTGCTTAGATGTTCTTGTTTTATTGTTTATGGTTACGTTACTTTTAACTGTTGTCTTGAATGTTGTGTTTATGCCGTGGTGCAGAGTCACTGACAGTTGTTGTTTTGTAGAGGGAGTGCTGCACCATGAGTGACTTCTGTTGTGCTGTTGTTGAACATTGAGGCACATCGTAGCACCAACAAGTGTTTTAATAAAGAGCTCCCCCTACCAGTTTTGGGGTTGGTTGACAAGCTCAATCTCTCTCTGTGAACTTCTTTGTTAAGATTCCTTAGCATGCCGCAATGTAAAACATTGCACGGCCACGGTGTGCTAATTATAAATTTTGAACAAGAAATGTAGAGTAAGGAATTGCAATTAATATAAATCTCAGAACAGAAATAGGCCTCTGCACCTAGGGTGAGGGTGTGGCCATGAAAACAATGTGACATGCCATTGGATGTTGGGACACATAATAACATGATGCTAAGCATCGGCCAATGAATGTAAACTAACAACAACCAGGTCGCGGGTATGGCTGCGACCGTAGGAAAAAATCCTAATATGAAGGTATTTTACTGCATTTTACAGTAGTGTTCTGTTCTTCTAGAATATCATTAAAGTTACGTAAATAGACTTTGACTTCACATTTCAAATGTAAATTAACGTTAAATCACTGTAATGTAATGAAACATAATTTTCATGATTATTAAATGTATCTGTCTGTACATATGCATATTTAGATTGTTAAAATACATTCACAAATGTATCATGATTTCACAAATATCTGTCCGTTATTTGAAAGATCAAACTGTTGAATTCAAATGTAATGCTATGGAAAAGTATATAACATGATCCCTATAAGCTTGTGTTACATCACATAAGTATTGTTATCATTGCTAGTTAGGGCCATCGTGGCTCAAGAGTTGGCAGTTCGCCTTGTGATCAGAAGGTTGCCGGTGTTGTGCCAAAAAGTGATTGTCTGCCAAAAACTGATTTCCAGTGTTTCTGTGTATTTTTTATGTGTAATATCTTTACATATGTTCGTAAATAGACTTCGGTGAACAGGGGATACAAAGGGGTTACATAAAGAATTAAAAAATTATCTGTTTTTTAAGTATCTTTACAACTTGTACTTACATTATAACCAATCCGGTCCTTTATCCCCACTTAAAATATTTTTACAGAACTATTGTAATATTTGCTGCCATTTCTGCTGTCCTGTTGGGCAACTTACTCTTACAAAATACATTTTTAATGTTAATTAGATTTTTTTTACTGCATAAATAAAGGTTATATAAAAGTCACTGCCAAAAACT